TTAAGTACTTTTTTAAGTCCACTCACAGGCAGTTGACAACAACCAGTTGGTTCCACCCTCAAAATGACTAAAGTTGACAGGAACGCACAAAAACTGGTCCACATGCATGAGGAAAGAGGCTACAGACACATAAAAAATCAACCACTAGCTCAGAGAAGGAAGATGCACTCATGTTTGTAACATATATTAGGGGCTTGGTATTAAATCTGCATGCATAAAACATTCAAAATGCTCACAGAAAGCTGTTTATATACATGTATTTTACATAAAACTGCTGGTATGAATATTTATTACGACTCTGCTCTCTTGGCAGCATTATTATACACATTAATTTATCTAATCATTTCACATATATGATTCATGTATTATAGTTCTGGCCAAAAGAAATGAATATTCTTAATATATATGCTGCACTACAAATGTCATCCCTTCAGTAAGGGATTTATTATTTATTATTATTTAGATATGTAGTCTCACCCATCCGAACCTAAACAATTCTGTTCCTAAGATTCCCAGTAGTCAAATGTTATCCCTTCCTTGGTCATAAGATGGTATGTTTAATGAACATGGAGGGATTTACCATAAGGCAATTCTAGGTAGTTGCTTAGGACCCCAAGTTCCTGGGGGCCCCATAAAACTCTGTTTACATGTATAGTTTATACAACTATTCCTTAATTGTGCACATTAATTATGCTTTGGATAAAATCCTTTCACTAAAATGTCATCAGAACGCTTATAATATGAAGTGTGTCTCAAGCCCCCCCCCTTCAGTGTCCACCATATTGGATCAGTCCATTTGCTGCACATGTTCAGAAAGGTCCAAACAGACAGCAGCAAACCATTTGAAAACAAACGACGGGAAGAGCAGTGTTGCCAACAGTGCTTTTGTCGCTATATTTAGCGACTTTTCAGACCCCTCTAGCACTTTTATTTCAAAAAAGTACCTAGTGCCAAATCTAGCGACATTTTTCTGCTACTTTAGACTTTGGCAACAATAAATGAAAGCACAGAACTCTGCTCTCCAGAGCAAGTAGATTGGTAACCCCGCCTCCTGCTCTCCTCTATCTTGTCTGCCGTCATGATCCATGCAGCTATTATTTCATCCAAATGAAAAATGGAGAACAGATAAGCAGATCATGGCTTGTCTGCAGTGAAAAGAAGGACTGGGTTATTTACTTTGGCCGTCGCATAAAAAGTCAGCTAAAAAAACAAAACATAGAGAGGAAAACAGCAAGAAAAGGATAAGAAGAAAAGGACAAGATGAAGAACACATAATATATGTATTCTATTAAAATTTCTGTATCTGTATAATGGGTCTGTTTTATGTCTTGTCTTCTCAACTCAGAGGGCCCCATGCCTGTTTTTGCCTAAGGCCCCCGAATTCCCAAATCCACCCCTGTTCATAAAATGTGTTTTGTGTATAGGGATTTTAATCAGTCACCATTATGAAAATTTTGGTATATGATATTTGTTTGGTACCCCAACATTAGTAGATAAGTGCCCAGAAAACATTAAGTTCACTTATTTCCAGAAACCCTTCTTCATAGCATCATCATCAAAGTCCAAACTTATTTCTATCAATTACCAGAAAATCAAACAACCCCCTGTTACATGGAGTCAAAGTCAAAGTAGTACCAGAGAGGCCTCTACGTTCGTTCGTGTGAGGTTAGTACTTCTTTTTGTACTTGTTCAAAGACCCAGAAACTACCTGAGTTCACGCTGATCCATATATAGAAGTGATGAAGTAGCGGCGCTGCTCATGGGACCTCCTATTAGTCTGCTTGCTCATTTCTGCTCCTTTTAATTTGGTTGTAGTCAGCAGATACGTTTTTTTTTCCTCAGATCTCTAAGGATCAGCAGATTGGATAAGGTGGAGGTATTCTAATGCACCGTGGACTGTCTGCAAGATATTCCAGTAAACCATGTATGGGAAAACTATGTCTAGTTCTATTACTTCAATCACAATGAGTCCAACCACTAGCATAGTGTAAGTTTTTTTCCAGCTTTTTATTGTTATTAGGCTGTCACAAGTAAAGAGCAATGAACCCATCCCCATTGCGCGGTGTGCGGGCAGCAGTGTAGGGTCTTTTGCTCAGGGACCTAGAGTGGCAGTCTGTAGCGTAGACACTCAGACACTTTCACTGTCAGAAATATACAAATCTGTTTCTGACGGAGGAGAATATCTAGGATTCAGAGCTCCCAGTCGTTTCGCAGTAGGGTTCTGATAGGAAGATGTTAGAAATCAGCAGGATTAAAAAAAGAAAGGCTTCGGTTTGCAATGTAATTAAAGTTTTTGTTCCGATGTTAGAAAGTTGTTTATCAGGAAAACAAGAGAGTGTCAGAACCAGGAAGTTAAAATTGTAAAAGATTCAATATTTCAAGCTGTTTCAAGCCTCAATCTGGGACGGTCTCAGTTCGACAGAGATTATCCAGGTCTGTAGTTCCCTGTGTGTTTGCTTAAAAGGGTATTTTAGAGAGAAGACGTGTAATAAAAAAAGCAACCCCTTTAGGTAGAGGTGAAAAATGTGTCCCCAATGAGTAATTTTTGTCATTTTAATATTTGTAATCTGTTATGTACCCCTGTGAAGAAACAGGAAAGTTATTTGTTTTTTTGTCTTCCAATGTTTTCTGTTTTGTCGGCGCTTTGACAAGTTTTCTCTGTGGGGAGTTTTGTTGGACGTAGATCCAGCCTTTCATCACATAATAAATCACATCATAAATAAGATTGCTCAAGGCAATATTTACTGATCTGTCTGTGTTAAAAGCTCTGAAACTTTGCGGTGGAGAAATTTGAAACACAAACACTGACTGATGACTACTCCTCATTGCTGAAATCTAATAGATGTCTGGCAGTTTGTCAATGCTTGACCCTCGTAATCCCGCTGACAAACATTCAGCTCTTAAGATGCACAATCAACATCCTTGTAAGCATTTTGTCAGCGTTTTTAGTCAGCGCTCTGGTCTTACAGGCCTTCTAGGTTCAGTTTTTTACTGCAGCATCCCTTAACACCTTATGTTTGACAACCATGTGAACAGATGGCTCATTTGAAATCAATTAAATGTGTTTAAAATTGCACACATCCTGATAATGCCCCCATTTCTTCTCCCTAGCTCATGAGGTTTCCACCATCATAATAGGACAAGGGAGTCGGTCCTGCTGAGAGCCCCATCTGTGATCCCCATAAGCTGAGCCCCCCCCCATTATTACCAGCAAACTGCATATTCTTTATGCCAGATACATCTGGCCAGTATAACAGTTAATATTCACCAACAGCAGACATAAAAATGGGTTGCCCTGTTAATCAGGGAAGTACTGAGGACCAAAGAAAAAGAGAAACAGAAAAAGTCGAAGGAATTGGGAATCAAAAATGATGACTCAGCTGAGGAAACAGATCTGTGGAGTGCAGTTGCTATAGTTTATGCTTCAGCCAGCAACTTTAGAACTTTTAACGATTTAATTTATAGCAGACAGAAAGTGTTTCGCTTTGTTTAGAAAACTGGGCATTGGGGCACAAACATGTTTTTCCTTATACTGCTGTAAAATCTCCTTCCAACCACATCATGTCAGTGATACTGCCTCTGCTCAGTGGATCAGACACTGGAGAGCAAACGATGAAGGAGTGCCTTTTTTTATACATTTATGCTGAATCATTTATTAAATCAGAGATAAAAGCACTTTCCCATTTAACTAATCCAGTTATTTTAGTATGATTAAGCTCTAAATATTTGACAAACCTCTAAATTTGGTCCCAAACCAAATAACATTGATTTTACTGTGTTTGTTTCAAGGCACAGTTTTTGATGCTGAATACAGACACCATGTAAAATGACAATGCAGTCCATTACAATTAGCTGAATTATAGTTATTTGCATACTCATCGAGTACTGCAATTTTGTCTGAATTGTAATGAGTTGGATATGGGGAGAAAAATAAATCTGTTCACAATGATTACTTTATGATTGGAGGCAAGATGTTTTCCTTGAGTGTGTCCCACATCTCATTTTTCTCACTCCCCAGGTAGTTATTGAACTATTAGCGAACAGGCTGCCGTGACATTTAGAGCCGCTGCTTCCTCTTGTCTTCTAAGCTCTGTCTGAGAAGAATAGCTCTCACAGATCTTAGTGAAATGGGGGATAAAACATATTATTTCTTTGGGTTACTCATGCTCTAATGATATCAGATTACTGAGTCTCAGAATTTCAAATACGAGGATTTTATTTGAGCTTTGAAACAGCCTCTCAGAACAGCACGTTTTATCCTGAAAAATGTAAGAACAAGAGAAGTTTGAAGAATCTAAGGCCTGTTTTTCCTCTTCTATACTCGTTCAACTTCTGTACCTCCAGATTCTTCATTCTTCCAACACTGTCTGCTCTGAAAGTAATCAAACATTCAATGCAGAATGTGTAACTCAGAGAATGCAAGACTGGAGGCAATTCAAATAGGAAAGAGAGTTATTTTTAGGGATAGCGCCTGAAATGAAAACTGGTTCAGCTAAAGGATGTTATAGAATATCTGTGCCAGGAACATGGTGGAAAGAATATAGAGAAAAATTCTCTCCTGTAAGAATCAAACGGTGTGCGCGTACTTCAGTAAATATTTCTTAGTGGTAGATGGTTTTATTAACATTAAAACAAAAAGATTAGGTTTCTGTTTAAATTTGCTGATTTTTAGCCCTTCTTAACCCAGGGTTCGATAAAAGCAATACTCCTACTTACTATTTCATCCTCCCACTTTCAATGATCAATAACATAGAGTTCATGGCGGTAACAGCCTGACTGTAACAACTGCACTCTACAGTGAACATCCTCAGTCTGACTGGCATTAAAAGAGAGCAATACACCCTAGGACACAGCCCTATGATGTTTAATCTAACATCTTCCTTGTTTCTCCCCTCATTTTCTCCAATTTCTCTCCTCTCTTATCACTCTTTACTCTTGCTCTATTGTTCTCTCTTTCTACTTCTGTCTTTCTTTTTATTTTGTTGCCGATGCCTCACTAGGTGACCATCTCTGTTGATGGCATTTTGACCACCACTGGGTACACGCAAGAGGATTACACCATGTTGGGCTCCGATGACTTCTTCTACATTGGAGGAAGCCCCAACACAGCGGACCTGCCGGGATCACCAGTCAGCAACAACTTCATGGGATGCCTTAAAGACGTGAGTCTTGTTCTGAAAACACAGTATTTTGTCGGTCCGACTGAAACTGGGTCCAAATCTCTCCCAAGTTTTTTTTGTTTTGTTTTTTCTTATTATTACTCTAAAGATACAACATTTTTACAAAGAATTTGCAGTGACAACATGTTGGACTCAAGTATGGTGCAATCCTCACACGTTTCTGTGAGCACCCTTGTGTTGACTGACACGGTCTCTGGAGATTCATCCGCGTGGGCAGATTTAACTCCCCATATGTTGGAGTGGGAGGTGTCAGATGCACAACATGCTGAATTGCTTCCAAGTGTTTATTTCCTCTGTGTTTCTTCTTGCACTTTCTAACCTCGGTATAGTCCAAACACTTCAGCAGGAATTAATAACACCACGCCAGGCCTATGGGAAAGCATCCATATTGAGATTTTTATACTTTCCCCAGAAAGGGTAAGCAATAAGCATCTCTTAACCTATGGAAGGATAGGTAAAAGCAGACGTCTACATGAAAGGTTTAATTTGAATAGAAAAAGGCTTTTCATTCCACCAAGGTTTTACCACAGAGATGATCAAGCTGTCATGAAGTCCAATCACAGCTTAAGTAATGTAGTCCTGTGAATAAAATGACTTGTATAGAGGTAAAGCAACACGGTACTACCTTATATCGTGATAAAAACCTTGCTGATTGAATGAGTAATTACTTTTGCCACCACTTTTAATGGATCACACAGTAATCGCACCATCTCTAACTTAATTATGCCTTGAGAATTACATTTTCATTATTTGGCTTGCTATTGGAAGGATCCCTTGCGGGCCCCTAAGCCTCACAAGGCATTTAACTAGCCTCTCTCTCATCAGAACATGGCAAGAATTTACTGTCAGTGTACCGACAGAGGGAAAAAGAGGTGTGCATAATAGAAGGAAAAAGACAGCTAACAGGAAAGACAGGGGTTGAAACATATAAGCAATGTGGTAATAGTATTTTAGAGCAGATGGTTTTTAAATATTTCAAAAAAGTTAAACAATTCACTGGACGTTTGAATTTTTCAATTCAAAATGTCAGAAATAGAATTGAGTTTGAGGCTTTATAGTGGAACTAAAAACAAAGCCTTGTTTTTGCGTAGAAAACATCCGAATTGAACCGGACGAACGGGTCCGCCCCTTTGGAATAGGGGTCGTTTGGCTTCTTTGTTAGCCTGCAATACCCCATACCTGTCTAGGTCTCTGAAAGGGGGATCGTTAAAGGGAATTGCTGGCCTGGCTGAACAGGCGAGGGGTTCTGTTCCCCTGTAATGATAGAGGGAAGGAATCAACTCAATTGCTGCAAGTTTTTAAAAGCTGAAATCTGATTCCACCCCCTCTGTTTAAGTTAGATTTTTCGTTCAATTCAATTCAGTTTATTTATATAGCACCAATTCACAACACGTGTCATCTCAAGGCACTTTACAGTTCACCAGATAATACAGTCAGATTGATTCAAAGTTTTCTATCTAAGGAAAATCAGTTGATTGCATCGACTCATTGACTCAAATGCAATCCCTCACACTAAGCATGCTTGTTGCGACAGTGGAGAGGAAAAACTCCCTTTCAACAGGAAGAAACCTCCAGCAAAAACTCTAAATCACTCCATCACATTTTTATCTGTATGCTTTGCGTCATTGTCCTACAGGTGGATGAACTTGCATGTCAGCAAAATTTCAGTTGTTCTCTGGATTTAGCTCTTATCAACTCCTACCAGTGTCCTTGTTCCCGCTAATAAAAAAAATTGTCCACGTCACGATGCTACACTGTTTTTCTCTATTTAGGATCAGTGTATTCTCATTATCAGTTCGTATGAAATCGTACGAAAAGTTATGCACAGTAATTTCGTACGTTTTCGACATTTTTTTGTGGTATTTCGTCATATTTGTACGTCTTGCCTCGAGACAAGATATCCTTGCGCATGGGCATCTTCAATAACATAGAATTTAACTTACAATTAACCCTAACCCTAAGATACAAAACAGCAAGCAACCTAGTGAGAGACATCAAGAAGTAGTTATTGCACAGTTTTTCCCAGTTTTACGTCCGTCCTTTTTTCGTCTGTCTGGCTGCGCACTGATCTGTTTTTTCGAGGAAAAACGTTGAAAACGTACAAAATACTGTGCATAACTTTTCGTACGATTTCATACGAACTGATAATGAGAAGATGTTGTTAGGATGCACTGCAAAAACTATCTAGAAATAAGTAAAGATTTCTTAAACTAAGTGTATTCACCCTTAATTTGAGTAGGTACATGAGATAATTTGCCAATGGAATGAGTAATTTTACTCTTAAAATAAGATAATTAGATAATATGCACTTGAAATAAGACAATGCAATTGTGTTTTCTTATTTTAAGTGTAAATGTTCTTGTTCCATTGGCAAAATGTCTCTTTTACCTCCTCAATTCAAGAACAAATGCACTTATTTTAAGAAAAAATGACTTATCTAGATTCAGATTTTTTGCAGTGTGGTGTTTTCAGGGTGATTTGTAACAGTACTTTTCCACCACACACAGCATTTAAAATGTAGCTTTTTAAGTGAACATAAGGTCAACTTCTTATGCTTCCAGGTTTTCCATGATATAAACTTTACTTTATACATTTTTGTTGTTATCGTCTTTAAACAATGCCTGTCTTTTTGCCCATAAAGACCCCAGTATTAAATGTTCTTTTAGCGGATTATCCCACATTATAAATGTGGAAGTCGTAAGCTTCCCTCAGGGTTACTGTTGGCTCCTCTTTCCCAGCCTGCATTATTAGATGGATGATCTATTTGTAGGTTTTTAGTCTTGTCTTACTGTTTATTTCTTAAATTGACAAATTGAACACAACTTTGTATTACACATTATTTAAACTTAGATCAAGTGATTAAACAAAGCGAAAAAGGGAAACCTAGTAGTTTACCAAATTAAAAAAGACTAAGATTATTAAAATAAATGAAACAGTATTATTATCCCAGTTTAACAGAGATGTAAAAGTATCATTTAAATACAGAGAATGTCGCTCTGACATGAGAGAAGTAAACGGTAACTATGATATAGCTCTCTGTTTTCATTGTAATCCAACCATAAGTGGTGGAAGCATAACTTTTTTAAGAATATTAAAACTTGGCTCTATAAATTACAGTAACTCACAAGAGACCTCACAATCAGACACACCAATTGATGCATAACATATGTTTTTCTATCATGCTACATATGTTTTGTACTTTTCCTCCGAACTCATTATTGCCATGTCAGAAAATGGGTACTACACTGCAAAAAGATCTAGAAATAAGTAAAACATTTCTTAAATTAAGTGTATTAACCCTTACTCTGAGTAGGTAAATTCAATGATTTGCCAATGAAATTAGTATCTTTACTCTTAAAATAAGATAATTAGATAATATGAACTTAAAATAAGACAATGCAATTGTTTTTTCTTATTTTAAATGTAAATTGTTTTGCTCCATTGGCAAAGTCTCTCACTTTCGACCTCAATTAGGAGAGAAAATGCACTTACTTTAAGAAAAAATTACTTACTTAGATTTCCATTTTTTGCAGTGTATTTAGGTGATAACTTATGGACTGTTAATATTTACAAAAGACTGCTTAAAAGACATTGTGCGAACATGCTCCACGGTTTCCTTATGAATCCATTGATGTGGCTCCTCCCACAGATGAATCTCTTCTGGATGGCAATAGTGTAGCTAGAATACTGAGAAAACGTCTTTCCAGCTGGACATTATTAGTTAATAAACCATAGTTGGCGTGTACAGTACATTATTTCTGATCTGGTTGAACTGTAAAGTGTCTTGAGATGACATGTGTTGTGAATTTGGCGCTATATAAATGAACTGAATTGAATTGAATTGAATTATTTCTCAAAAGTTACATAATTAAAGGTATAGTGGAGCACAGTTAATGTTGCAGTATTAAAGTAACACTCAATAGTACATTTGGTCCCACTCTGAATTAGTGTGGGACCAAATGTACTCTTAAAATGTTACTTTAACACTCAAAGAGTTACTTTAACACTGCAACATTTACTGTGAGGATGGTATTTTTCTTGGTGGATCATCAAAATAAGTGGTCCTCTTAAGTGTCAATCATTCTGGTGATCTTCCAAAAAAGATAAAAAAATAAACAGCTATAAATAATCTGTATAGGTTTCCAAGTCATACTTTGGAAACCAAGTCCAGTCGGATATAGAGGAAAAATTGCAAATCTTCTTTTGGAAAGTAAGCTTGTATGA